CAGTGTACTGCAACATATTTGATCTAATTTACTTTGGGTCTAATTTATTTTTATTTATCATATTTATATATGTTTAGTATTATTTTGATATTATTTATTTAAATGTGAATATAAAATCTATCATTTATTTTTGTATTGGTTTTTCAGTTGAATTATACGTTCAGGGTAATCAACAGTTAAACAGATACTGCTCAAATTATTATTTGTATTTAATAATCGTGATATCGATTATTGACCAAAATAATCGTGATTATGATTTTTGCCATAATCGAGCAGCCCTAGTTGTTATAGAACAGCAGTACTTTGACATGAAAGATTACAGCTGACTTTCTTATTTTCCACTTTGACAGAAAAATAGAAAACCTCAAAGGAAAAAAGATCAATAAGTGACTCAAACATTTCATTGGCCAAATAGAAAATTGTGTAGCTAATTCAATATTTAGAAATAAGATATTTGATCAATTCAAAATTCTTACCTGTTCAATGTTCTGGCGAGATATTTGGTACCATTTCGGTTTGCAAGGGAGGGATACTTCTTTTGTAGGAAGGCATATTCATCACGGGCGGCATCTGCCACCAACTTCTTCTGATTGATATCCAACTGACTCCTGAGGAAGTGCAGGAACAAGGAAAGAGGAAACAGTTCTCAAATGAAGGTGATTATGTTGTATGGAAATCTGGTGGAAATAATTACATGTTTTACCTTGGTTGTGTGGTATGAACATCTAATGTTAGAAATAACTCAAAACAAGGAAGCTCCGGATGCAACAAAGAAATTAGAGGGAAGCTTCCAGATCCCAAGCAATGATTTGACCTTCAGGGAGGCTCCGTATACATTTGTTTTAAATAATGTTGCTTGTTGGTTCTGTGTCCTGGCATATTGTCTCCATCTTTGTATTATTCTTTTTTCAAAGTTAGTTTGTTCCTTCCGTTGTTCCCCGCTTACTTCTTCCTTTAACCCTTATGTCGTGTTCGGGCCTCCCGTGACCCGTTTCAAGAACAAATGATATAATAACTACGCTCCAGTTTTTTGTATCGGAACAAGGCTTCATGATATCCTCCACAACAGCTATATAAACACTACAAAACTGATTTTCACCATTTTTGCCAAGTCTGAAAGTCTCTAAAAAAAAGTGTATCATTGGGTGTTCGGGTCTGGGGAGACCCAGCAGAATTGTTTTGGGTGACTCGAGGTCAAATTTGGCCCAATCAAGATTCATCTTTGACTTTAGACGGGAATTTATGGGAATAAACTGGGAATTTTCTAAATTGAAGGTTGGCTCTTCGTAGGGAATGTAAAAAAAGTTGGGGAAAGTATATTTTAGCATAATCTTGACTAAAACAAACAGATGCCATTCAAGTACACTTGAATATCCATGCCATTCCTCAATCACATGCACAAAGCACACTGCATGGCTATTGAGACCACACCCCCTACAGGCACTGTGTATTCCTCCATCACATGCACAGATGATTTCTAGAAGTTATATTTAACTCAACATTCATGTTTTTGTTCTTCAATGAAACAAATGATTGTTCAATCAAATAATTAAAACAAAAAAAACAACAATATGGAATATTTCCAAAATTCCCCAGTTTAACTTCCCATGGAAATGTACCGGAAACTTCCCGCCCCTTTGCAACCCTATTTAAAACCAATGTAGCACAAAAGTGCAGCGTTACCTGTTAACTACTCCAATAATGCCCAGTTTGACAGGAATGACCCGGCCCAATAATACATCCATGGCATCTGTGCCGGCGTCCATCAGATCCAGCTTGGTCACCACTGCTAGCGTCCTCCTGCCTAGAGACAAAGACATCATAAACAGGTCAACAAAAACAACACTGAGGCAGAGAGTCAAGTAAAGTTACTTTTCGTTATACAATCTGGACTGCATACGGCCCCTGCTGTTGTTAAGCCCTAGATTCGGATAAGGAAAAAACCCCTAAAAACCTTGAACAGCAGATAAAAACCTCAGGAAAAGCAACAGAAGAAAGTAAGGGATAAACAAGAAGTCCATTTACCATCAGGGTCAATGTCGCGGGATACTTTAAGGGCCTCTGAGGTCGCCATGTCTGTATTTGCAGCAGTCACAGCCAGGATGATGGAGTTGGGGTTGGAGATGTATTTGTAGATCAGTTCTCTGATCTGACCCTCTATGTCTTTGGGCTGGTCTCCCACTGGCAACTGTTTGAACACATACACACTCATTGACTCGAAGGAAAGGAATCTGATTGCAGGATTATTTGAGTTAATGTTCACTCAGGTTGGGACACGGGGAAGTGAATCTCACCTTCGTAATGCCAGGAAGGTCCACCAATGTGAGGTTCACAACGTGTGGGGAGAAGATTTTCAGGTGAATGGGTTCATCACTGATACCCTGAAAAAAACAAAAAAACAAAAAAGATGATAACTCTTACAGGCTGATATTGCTTAACAGACTCAACATGGATTATTATGCTGATATTACGAGATCATCCAGTTTCTCCGTAGATCATTTCTTGTTTGGCAACTTATAACGTTCCCTTTGTTATGGGCGCATTTAGCATACCTTGTTAATGCCGGAAATTCTTTCTGTTTCTGTTTCGATTTCTTGCCTGATCTCTTCAAAGTCTGTGTAGATCTGTAAGAAAATTAAACCGTGAAAGTAAGACTCCGATATAACAACAATAGCAACACGGTGTGAGAAAAAACAGAACATGACAGGGTTTGTTTTCCTGTTTAGTGTCATGGGGCTAGCATCAAAAGGGCTCTTTGTTCAAACATAATGAACTATAAGGAGATGAAGAGACACAATTCAACCTTGGAGGACATTGACCCGACAGCCACACTAATATTTGTAGCTACAGAGAGAGTGAGTGAAATGTTATAAAGATACCATAAAACCACAGAATGTCCTCGACAGAAACAAAACAAGGTATAGAGCAAAGGGAATTCCAGATCAAGTGCAGTTTATTCCTTAATTAGATGTTGTGTGGAGGCAGTCTTCATTGAGAGTATTGTTTTGGGGCAGACAAGACTAAAAGTACAACTCTACCTTGTTTTTGGTGTGTAGAAATTTGCCCCATTCCTCTCCGTCGATGCCTGCAGAAATACAAAGTTGAGGACAGATGTTGTGCTTACTGATGTGACAGATGTGGCCTGGAGATCAGTGTTACTATTATTACTAGTGCTACATCTCATGGGAGGATTTCTCTGCTTGCAATGGTGGGATGGAACAACTCTTCAGAGAAAGATGGATAATACAAATGTAAACTATAACAGTGGAACAACTGTTGTTGTCCCGCAGCAGTGGAAGCAAATAAAAGCCTCAGGAAAGAAAAAGCATGTGGATTTAGGGAAGCAGGAACCTAGTGTAGAGCCTTTAACAAACACAACTCTTATTTCAGCTGCAATAAACATTGCAATGAAAACAAGGGAAAAGTTACATAGGTGGAGTCTGTGAGTCATCTTAAAAGAAGTTGGTATTTGAAGACACCATATGAGCCATAGGTGGACTTTCAAAATGTAAAAGCCTAGCTCAAAACAAGTATTTTGAGCAGGAACTTAGACTGACAGACACCAGCCTAAATCGAGTGGAGAGCTTGAGCTGAATCAAGTGAATCTACAATGGTTTGGCAGCTTTGGACAAGCCACAACAATGCAAAGCAGGAGGGGGCGTAATGAGGGGATGTTATGTAATTGCAAACACAATATCGCAAAGAGCAAGGAAAAGGAGACCTCTGTTAAGGCGTCCATTTCTCTTTGATTCTGTGGTTAAAGAGAGATCAAAGGAGACAAAAGGGTTAGCCTGTCTATCTGCAGCTCCACTGTGACACTGCAGCCTCACTCTAAAGCCATTCCCAGAGGACGGCATGGAGGATGCAAATCTTGGCACAGCTTCCCAATCTTTTTTTAACTGAAGCAATAGTGCTCAGTTAAACTGCTTAGCCTATCACAATAAAAAAAAAACATCCTGTAGTAAATTAAATAATGGAAAGTGTCCCTGATATTTAAATCTTATTAAAGACAAATGCTTTTGGACACTTACAGTGAAGTATAGTACAGAAGGAAGACTGCTGAATTTAAATGACTCCAATTGAATGTGCAACAACCCCACAGATACAGAAAAACACAGGAGACGGTGATGTTACCATTCTCTTCATTGGTTTTCCTGCGGTCCTCTGGATCGATGTGCACTAGCTGCAAGATAAGAGGCCGGCGTGTGACGATGCCAGTTCCACGTGGCAGGATGTCTCTGCCCACCAGGCTCTCTAAAACTGAACTCTTCCCACTGCTCTGTAGACAAAAACAACAACATAAACAAAAACGTTAGAGGGGGACGGGAGTATGGATGACTCGTGGATGAAAAAAAACAGTCTTTCCATTGTGCAGATTCAGAAGAAAACAGGCTGTGCTGAGCTTGAATGTCTTAGACAATATTTTTCCTGTGTGTTACTTTGAATATTATTTAACCCGTTATCAGTGCTGGTAATTTCCGGAGTTCTGGAACCGTAGCTGCATTTTGGCCGGAGGAGACGAGGTCTATTTAGTCCTTGGTACAGTTTTCATTCACAGTGCAGCTAGGAAGACTGTCTGGTTTATTGATATGGGTGGCATAATACATCCTAATTAGACCTAGTCAACCGGAATACCTGACTTGGCAAGCATAGCATTGCATAGCATAGGCAAGCTTTATTAGACTGGTACTGATTTTCTCAATTGTAGACTGAGGCTTAACCAAGGATGTACAAAGGGCTAAACATGTAATCAGTGACTTCCTCCTTAGCAGTAACTTTGCTTAGACTGATATAGGATGGGCCTATTCATAGACCTTACATGGATAACAAATACTAGGCTTCAGGTCTCAGTTACAGCTGTCCTAACTGAAGGTCTTTGCAGATCTGGGTCTTTGTAGAGCCCAGGCATTTTAAACACCCTGTGGCTTTGTTGTCTCGCTGTAACAGAATCAGATACATGCCAACAGGTCTGAGACAGACACATCCTATTAGCAGAGCAGTGGAAATAAATGTGTTAGACAAAAGCTGCCACTTTAACCCAATTAGCTTTCATGTGTGCATATAGATAGTAAGGTGGACGGGGCAGGTTTATTAGACAAGCAAGGTGTTAATTGAACGTCATGGTCATCAGCAGTTCATGGTGCTGTTTATTGTTGTTGTTGTTTTATACCGAGAGGTGTTCGTAATTTGTCGAGTTATAGTGATTATCCTATAGCTAAGAATGACCTTATAAGCTTAGGATCTGAAGGAAAACTTTAAATGGGTTATTATTAGTGCCCCAACTGTCAGCTAAAAACATTGCTAGCCACACAACTCTTAGGTGAGATCACATGTAGCTAGCTAATGCTAATTTAGCCACTAAATAAATTATCCTAGATTAAAAAAGGCGGAGTTTATGTAAGGTCAGTCTGCACAGTAATGTCTACCACATCTGCATGAAAGTGAAAGAAAAACTGAGGTTTGCATACCAGAAGAAGCTAAAACCATAACTTGGCGCAGGCTAACTAACCTGCTAGCCCTAAAGCAAAGTGTTTCTCACCTGAGTTCCCACAACAACTATCTGCGGCAGTTGGATGATATCCGCGCCCACCGTGTTAAACACATCCTGCAGTTTGTTAATGACAGGAATGAGGGCCTCCATTAGCTCCGATAATGCTCCCGACCTGTCAAATAGCCACCTTTCTATACCCTGCTGCTGCACAGGGGGACAAAGTCATTCAATGATGGCTAAAGCAAAAGCAACTGGCGTCGCTTGGATCTACCAACAACTACGCAGACAGTTGCTCTGAGTTGAATCATGGGAGTTGGAGTTCACTAGAGACCCGGTCGTAGTTCCTATCAACGTGGATTTACTTGTGCTGAACTACATTCCCTACAGATGACATCATGCTCGTGTCCACCAATGGAAAGAAAGGAAATACTTTTTCCTCTACGCAACCGTAACTAAGGTGAGTATCAAAATATTTGTAAGTAAAACCCTTGACATAGTTATCGAGGTAGGCACACCTTCAAATCAATATAATAAGTGCTTCAACAATGTAAAGTTAATATTACAGTCTATCTGACATTAAAATGTTCTGTTGAGGCCAATACTAAGGTAAACATCATATACTGATATCTGCTCATTTTATTGTGTTTTGTTGACCAACAACCCTTCATTTTGGTTAATTATTATGTATTTTACAATGAATTCAAAGTTGATCTATAAGAAAATACTTATTTCTGAGGTAACAATGTTTTTTAAATGTTGTTTTTGGTCCTTAACAAATAACCAATACAAAAAAAAGCATTATCTGAATATTTTTTTTTTTTATACGGGTGAGAAAGTATTAAAACAAATACGAGGCAGAATGATGTTAACATTATACTCTTACAAAGCATTCAAACCAAAGGAATTTCAGTTTGGTATCTACTTTTTATTTTTCAAAAGACATTTTATACAAAATCTAAAGTGCCTTTGAATTTGTAAAGCACTATTATTGTTGGAGATAAACATTGTACACTACAGTGTAAAATTAGCACTTTACTGTCAAGAAGATGTAATGGAACGACAACAGTATGCAGTGTACATTTGAAAACAAATCTTTTAAAATTGGAATATAAAAAAATAAACCTTGTGACAAGTACAATCTGATGTTGTGAAACCTATGCTGTATTCTGCTTGTGTTAGTTTACAGACAGAGAACACTCTTCGTAGTTTGCCTCCCGGGCCAGTCAGAGGTATTTATTTATATTTTAGCATGTCCGGTTGATTTTTAACCGTGGTAATTGGAAATGTATATTAAATACTCATCAAGAAAACAGAAATTGTTGTATTTTTTTTATGAGGAAAGATGTCCTCTGCCACTTTGAGTAACTCAAAATACCACAGCAGAACAGTGTAGGCGTCACACTAATTTATAAAGATAGGCTGGAGTCAAAAACATTTCTCTATTTACTTATACCTCTTTACTACTAATATTTACATATATTTACAAATATGTAACTTTCTTTACAAATGCACTCAATACAACACATTTAAAAATATAGTTTGTTCAAAAATGACTGTGTAGAATGAATGAATATTTAAACATGATGTAACACAAACAAGTTCAAGCGTAAAACTAGCCAGCTTGTGGAGGGTCAGAGGATTGTGTTGACAATGCTGACATAAGCAGAAATCCACTGGCTATTGTTTGTACCTTGAGTTGTGGTTTGAAACCAACAATGACAAAACCTATACAAAAGACACTCAAATCTAAACAAATAAACATAATAGAAATGGTGAATTACTGACACACGAGTATTTCTTTAACAAAAATGTTTCTCCAAACATTAAACTTATCCAGTTCCACTATCAAAAGGTGCTTCAAATGATCGACAAAATACTCCGTCAGGTTATTTCACAATACGTGAAAAACTACTACAATCATGTACAAGTCCATGAGCACCACACAAGTGGAATAGCTTTAAGAAAACATAGCTTTTTAGACCTAAAATAAGTAAACTGAGGTTAACTGTTCCTGAATGTCAGATATCAATGTCATCGCTCACATTTCACAGCATTTGAACCAAGTGGCTTTATGTTACCTAATGGATACAACAGTTTTGTATGCCATTTGGACAACTTTGAGTGATTTCACATTGCATCTTAAGATGCAGTACAGTCTGTGTATGTGGTTACCATATTTCCCCTGCGTTGTGTCACTGTTCTACAGTGTTGTTTTGATGCACCATGAAACCTGTTGTCTGTCTGTTTGGTGCTGTCAAAGGTAAACATTTTCTCTATGTCCTCATACATATCATCAAAGATACCTGCTCCAAAACCTCCTTGAACGCGTCTCTTATGTCTACTGTGGGACTCCTTGTGGGTCCTGGAGTGTTCATCAAAGTGTCTTCGATGACGGGCATGCCTGTTCTGGCTGTAGATGTCAAAGTCTTTGAAAATGTCATCAAAGTTGAAGCTGAAAGGTTGGTGTGCGCCCTGTCTATGTCTGCCTTGCTTCTCCCCAGTGAAATATGCAGAGGTGTCACCAAACTGGTCATATTCTCTTCTTCTGGTTTCATCTGATAACGTTTCATAAGCTGTGAAAAGGAAGAAATAATTCAGTCAAGGTTGGATTAGTTAAGTACTGCATCTCATCAACATTTCTAAAAAGTCCCATCTAAGTACATGAAAAGAATAATAGGAAATATGCGAGCTCTCAGCATATTCATCCTTCAGAGTTCTTGAATTGAAGCTGAGAAAGATGTATCATTATCGTCCACACTGGATCACTCAACTAGGGCTGGGCGATTTGGCCTAAAAATAAAATCTCGATTTTTTTCTAACTAATGGACAATTTTTGATTTAAACCTCGATTTTTTTCTGTTTTTTCTGTAATATGTCACCGCATCTGTGATCGCCTGCCACCGGGGCCCTTTCTTGTCATAAGGAATGACTGTTGAAAATGCTGCTGCCAAGGTTACCTGCTTTTTTAAAGGCGCTTTGTGGCTTGAGCTAGCATCTGCATCTCTTAGTGCTACACACTCCTGCCATTCCACTGCATGTCTCTGTCGCAGGTGCTGGAATAAGTTGGTTGTGTTCCCATGCTTTTCAGCGATCGTCTTTCTACAGACCTTACACAGAACAGTTGTTTGTTCTATGTCTGACCGCTTGTACCCGAACCACTTCCATACAACTGAAGTAGCACCTTTTTTAGGAATGACACATTTGTTGCAATAGTAATTTATGCACTAACTACATTACTACTTGTACTACAACATTTGAATCCTCAGTTCTTCCTCATTTTCTCACATTTGGTTTATTAAAATAATGATATTGTGGTCATTGTTAAAAAATGTCTGCTATTATTATGAGTATTATTATTTGTATAATGCGCTTTCTGCCTTCCTGTCATTAGGAGTTAGAAATGTAATAACTATGTAGTAGATTATATTATAACCTTCATTCTCCTAAACTGCTGGAACATTTCCCTATAGCCAATGCCTTTATATTTTCTACTCTTCACTTACTTGTCAGCTGAAAAGGTCTTGCGCGTGTTTTGAGTCGGTGTAACGGACACTGAAGCCGGTGACGAGCGTAATATTTACCCGGGCGACCGGCCTTCGGGTGATAAATCTGTGGGCCTGGCGGGTATTGCATGAAAGGTGAATGGGGAAGCCGCGGTGATTTTTATAACAAAAAATTTTTTTTGCTAAAAAAAAAAGAGACACGATACCATAAAAACTGAAACGTTAAATCAATTTAACAAAGCAAATAATTGCGATGTTGAGTATCGCACAGGCGACCTCAGCCAACAGCCACAACCACTTTTCGTTTGTCGACGAAACGACCGCCTCGCGTCGCGGCTCGTCCGAGGGCACACACCCCTCGCGGCGAGGAAGGGTGATGTACTCGATAGTGACCGGTGAGAATTGGTCAAGCGGTAATTACAGAAAAATATGTCGCCATTCGGCCGGTTCGCCGGACCCCGTTTTTTGTTAAGAAAGTTATTTTCTTTTTCAAGTGGCCTCCTCAACTTTCCTCTCACTGTCCCTCATACCTCTTCTTCCTCCCCTCTCTTGCAAGTCGGTCGAACTAGCTTCCTCAACCCGGAAGATCACCCCGTCACACACACTGCGCAGGATTTTGCGGAAAGTATTGAGATAGCTAATCTAAATACTAGCTTTATAATATTTTCATCCCATCTGTACACCTCTTAATAGCCGCGACCTTGTTTGCACCGTAAGTAGACTTGTCCAAACAAAAGGTGTCTGGATAAAGGTCGATAAAAGGTTGTTGGGAAGTACCTCTTTCCCAGGGTACAAAAAAAGCTACCGCTGTCGTCAAGCAATGAAGCGACAAAATTTCCTTACGCAGTGACGTCTGAGAGTTTACTACGGTCATATTTTGTCCAGAAGACAGCCGGACATGTAGTTAA